CTTGTAGCCAAGAAGGTTAATGGCATATTAGGGTGCATTAGGAGGAGCATTGCCAGCAGATCCAGAGAAGTGATTAGTCCCTTTTATTCAGCTCTGGTGAGGCCACATCTGGAGTATTTTGTCAGTTCTGGGCCCCCCACTATAGAAAGGATGTGGACACATTGGAGAGGGTCCAGTGGAGGGCAACCAAATGATTAGGGGGCTGGAGCGCATAACCTATGAGAAGAGACTGAGGGATTTGGGTTTGTTTAGTCCGCGGAAGAGAAGAGTGAGGGGGCATTTGATAACAGCCTTCAACTTCCTGAAGGAAGGTTCCAAAGAGGATGGAGAAAGGCTGTTCACAGTAGTGACAGATGGCAGAACAAGGAATAATGGTCTCAAGTTACAGTGGGAGAGGTCTAGGTTGGGTATTAGGAAAAACTATTTCACTAGGAGGGTGGTGAAGCACTGGAATGGGTTACCTAGGGAGGTTGTGGAAACTCCATCCCTAGAGGTTTTTAAGTCTCGGCTTGACAAAGCCCTGGCTGGGTTGATTTAGTTGGGACTTTTCCTGGTCCTGCTTTGGGCAGGGGGCTAGACTTAATGACCTCCTGAGGTCTCTTCTAGCTCTATGATTCTATGATTCTACCTGATCTCTCCGAACTTCTACTGGCTTCCCTCCTCCAAAATAAAGCACAAGCGCTGATTCCCCTCCCTCCTTTTTACCAGCTACTGCAATGGTTAGGGCTTTCCCATGGTATGTGGGAATCTGAAGTCTCATCTCTGTTCCTCTCCAGCACAGGGGGATTACAGCCTTGGTCTCCTACTGTCTCTAGGCTAAGTTCTCTAACCACTGAGCAATATGGTAGAAAGGAAGCACTTCCTTTCCTTCTGTTTTTTTCTTGAAAAAGGACTGGCATTGCTTACGTGCCAAACAGCAGGAGAAAGCTGATGTTGGTGAATCCTGACTGGAAATGATAGGCACCGCCCTCCCTTTTAGAGAGGTGGAGTTAAAAAACCCTTATCCCTGGCATTTCTTCAAGGCTACTTCAGTGGCTCTTCATTCGGCATGTTTTCTTTTATGGATCCCTCTCTAAACCACCAAAGTCTCCTCCACATTGTAAAAGAGAATCTAAGTGCCTCAGGAATGGCAAAAATATTTGTTAGTACCCGGCAATATTGGCTGTGGTCCCTAAAGCTACTGCTTCAGGACATGGGTGGCAAAATCCATGAAAATCAATATATATTGTTTTCCTCTGGGTGTCTTTTTAGGGAAAGGACCCAGAATATCCATTGCCACATGCTGGAATGGAATCTCTATTATGGGGAGTGGTTGTAGAAAGGTACCTTGACCTGGCCTTGAGGCTTTCCCACCCGCTGGAATACTTTACAAGACTGGACATAATTAGACACATCCTTTCTCTTCCCCTCCCAGTGTTCCCTGTACCTAGTTAGAACTACCAACTGTCTCTAAGGACACCAGTCCTCCTTGTGCGCACCAGAAAGAGTCTCTTTGTATGGAAGTTCTCTTTCTACCACAAACCTGGACCTGTTAGAAGAGCTGAGAAGTAGTGGCTCTCTGCAGGCTGCCGTCCAAGCTTCCTTGAGGTTCTCATCAGCTTCCTGCTCTGCATGGAACTGCTCCCTTGGTCCTGGAGACATCAGCTTCCCGCTGAGTTGTGTACTCATTCTGGAAGCAATGCAGGTGATGTCGGTGTCCTTGCTGGTTGTGAATCAGTCTCTGCTGGTGCACTAGGCTGCATTGCAGGCTCCGGCAGTGCCTCTTGTGGCAGATGCAGTTACTGCTATAGGCTCTAAGGTGCCCTATGCTGCTGGTTCTGATCCTGGCACTGGCTGCTCCACCAGTTCTAGCTCTTGGGTTCGTTCCACCTGGAGTTCAAGAACTGGATCCTCTGCTGCTGTTGTAGTCACTGGTCTGCGGTCTGGCTCAGCCATCTCCCTCTGCATCTCTGGCATTCGAGTGTCTTGGGACACAGACTGGGCCCCTGTAAAAGACTGAAGAATGGGGTTAGGTGTGGAGACCTGCTTATCCCTGTTGCAGGTGACCATTCCCACCTTCTTAGCCTGTCTCACATGGTTGGCTAAGTCCTCTCCCACCAGCATAGGAAAGGGATAATCATCATACACTGCAAAAATTCCTGACCAGCCCTAGTATGTAACAGGCAACTTGGCTGTAGACAGGTGAAAAGAATCTGCCTTGAAAGGCTGAATCATTACTTGGGCCTCTGGGTTAACGAGTTTGGGGTCCACTCGGGATTGGGCTTCAGTGTCTCTCCATGCAATAACCTTCTTCCTGCTCACACTCACAGTTTCCCTTCTTTCTGGAGGTACCTGAGAGGCATCTGGGCCTGAGGACTCTTGGTGTGACCCCGGTATAATGAACTGCACTCTGTTCATATTCTTGGGGCAGTTGGTCTTCACATGCCCTAGCTTGTTTTCCCTGGGCATTTCAACTGTGTTAAGGGTCCACTGAGTTGTGATCTCAGCTCCACTATGTACTGGACTTTGAGGATGCTGTACACAAGACAGGCTCTTTGAAAACCTTCTAAGAAGGCCTTTACATCATCTCCTACTTGGTACATCAGGTGTTTCCTGGGTTGGGGAGCTTTAGTTGGAGCAGGGTGGTTAGTTGGAGAAGTTGGAGTGCCCAGATTCCTAGTTTTCTCCAGTTCAACTTGAACTGTCTCATTTCTACTTCCTCATGTTTCATCTGCATTTCTACTTGCTTCCTCTGTAGGAGGAACTCCATCTCATTCTGAGTTAGAGGTCTGCCTGCCCTAAGAACACTCCCCCACCCTGAAGATGGTGGTGGGAGAGCAGCATGGCCACCATCCTTTGATCCTGCCCCCATAAGGTTACTTCCCCCTGGCCTCACAGGGACATTTTCCTATCCCGCTTCTTTGGGGTATGAGCATTCTCCAGAGGTGGACATCTTGCCCTGATCTGAGGCTGTTTTCACCTTGATGTGTCACTTAAGCTACATCTAGACTGCAAACTTCTTTCAGAAGAAGCTTTTCAAAAGAGAGCATCTACACAGCAAAAGCTATCTGCTTTTTTGAAAGTGTCCACACTGATTGGGTGCTATCTTGTGTAAAAGGCCACCCAGAACCAGTTCAGGCAGGGCATTAAGTCACTGGTTGCTTCTGGGTGCTGTTGCCCAAGGCGATCTGAGACGTATGCTTAAAGGGACCCCTCTGGACAGCCATTTCTCAGGTTCTGCTGCTTGCTTGCCTACTTCTCTGAGGGACAGCAAAGCTTTAGCAGTGTGTGCTCCAGCTGACCATTTTTTGGACATCACAGCATATTCCTTGACATGGAGCTGGAGCTGCCACTGGGCATGTGATGGCCTCAAACTGTCATACTACAGGTTCTGTAGCAGTTTGTACAGTCTGTCTTGACGGTCCTGCCCCAGCTTGACCCTGAGTTCATCAGTGAGTCCCTCAGCCTGGATACGGGAGCAATGCCCTTACAACTTCACTCCATGATGGAGAGATGAATCTGGAGGCTGGACATCAGTTCTGACTGGAGGGACCATTGGTCATGCAGCAGTGGGATGACCAGCAGTGGCTCAACAACTTCCACATGCGAAAGGCCACTTTTATGGAGCTGTGTGCCTGGCTCGCCCCTGCCCTCCATGACAGGACACCCACCTGCAGTGTGCCATCCCCCTGGAGAAGCAGGTCGCTATCGCCATCTGGAAGCTCACCACCGCAGATGGCTACTGGTCTGTGGGCAACCAGTTCAGCATGGCGAAGTCCATCGTCGGGGCCCTCCTCATGGAGGTAAGGCACTCTCAGGCTGCAGTCCCTGCAGGGGCAGGGGAATACTGGAAACAGGGAGGAGGAGGTTTGGAGGTGAGGAGGTGTGGAGGGGGAAGGTGTGGAGGGGGAAGGGGGTGAGGAGGTGTGGAGGGGGAAGCCCCATTCCCAGGGGACTGTGTTGTCCTGCCCTCACACAGCCCTGCTGCTGTGGGGGTGGCCTCATAGGGGGTGGCTCCACGGGTGTTTGGGGGGGAGGGGAGTGGGTACCTCCCAAGGGCTCAGGTACTCCCTCTCATTCTCTGTTTTGTGTGTTTCTTTGTCCCCTTCTGCACTTTGTGAGGGCCATCAACTCCATCCTGCTGCGCAGGGTCATCTGCCTTGGAGACCTAGACCCCATCATCACAGGATATGCAGTCCTGGGATTCCCCAACTACAGGGGAGCCATTGATGGAACCCACATCCCAATCCACACACCACATCATTGAGCGGCCCAATACATAAACTGCCAGTGCTATTTCTCCAAGATGCTGTAGGCCCTGGTTCACCATTGTGGACATTTAAAAGACAATTTTGTTGGGTAGTCAGGCAGGGCACATAATGTTCACATAGTCAGAAACTCCAGCCTCTACCACAAGCTGGAGGCTGGGACATTCTTCCCCCAGTGGGACTTTCGCATGGAGGACCTGCATGTGCCACTGTGCATTGTTGGGCCTACCCACTAATGCTTTGGCTCATGAAACCCTACACTGGCCACCTGGACCTCAACAGGGAACAATTCAATGCACACCTCAGCTGGGCCCAAATGCAGGTTGAATGCACCATCGGCCGCCTCAAGGTGCGGTTTAGGTGCCTCTTGACCTGCCTGGATGTGGGGGAGCATAACATCTCCGACATGGTTGCCACATGTTGCGTTCTCCACAACGTTGTGGAGAGAATGGGGAGGCCTTCCTACCTGGATGGAGGGTAGAAGCCGGCCATGAAGGGAGGGCCTTCCAACAGCTGTGGATAGCTGCCATTCGCCAGGCACATCAGGTGGAGGTGCGCATCCAGGAAGCCCTGAGTTTTTCTCAAGGACCCCAGTAACACTCCCCAGGGCCTCCTCACTAGTGGCCTGTGCCTTGCCCCCCTATGCCTTTTCCATCACAACCCCCTCCTTCCCACCTTCCCTGCACAAACAATAAAGACACCAGTTTGGATTGGAACAACAAAAAAATTGTATTTTTTAAAGAAATTGGGGAGGAGGGGGACTGAGAACCTGGAGGGGAAGGGAAGATGGGGGGCATAAAGTTGGAAGTGGAATGGGGCAGCTGGTAGTGCCACCTTGGGTCCGGGGACCTTGGCAAACTCAGGAGTGGGTGGAGCCTGGGACAAGGGGGTGGGCAGTATGGGGACCTGGAGTAGGATCAGGGATGGCAGGGGGAGCTGAACTGGGGAGGGCTGGAGTGGCAGGAGCTGGAGTGGGGACAGGAGCCAGGTATGCCATCACTTCCTGGATGGGGGCACACGTTTTCACCCTCCTGCACAAGGTAGTCCCACATGCATTTCCACCATTCAGCATCATCCCAGACCATTTGGCCTAGGGTCCTCTGCATGTCACACAGTACAGCCACGTGCTCCCTCATGAGGTCCTTGTGGACGGTCCTGCACTTTCGGTTCCCCAAGGGTCGGATAGCTGGCTCGAGTGGTGTGGCTTGCCCTTCAGTGGCGGCTGGTCTGGCTGTGGAGAATAAAGAGGGAGAGGTGGTCACTCATCCATGCAGACACTGTACTTGAGGCCGTGCTCTCCTCTGTGAGCAGCGACCAACTGTCCGCAGGCCAGAGGAGGGGGATGTCTTGGGAGCAAGACCACGTGTGTCCTGCACAGCAGGCCCTGCCTCACATGGGCCCCGAGGTGCCCAGGAGAACATGTTGCTCATTTCGCACCCTCCCAGGAACAAGCAGGCATGGGAAGTGCAGGCATGCCTGTGTGCTATGTGTGGCACTCCTAGGTGTGTATAGGGTTGCGTCTGCGCCATTGTGGCTGGCCTGTTTCCAGCGATGGCTGGTGGTGTGTGTGGTGTCCCCTGAACCTGTGAGCAAGATCCCGGGGGTGCTCAGGGGCTGCATCCTGAGGTTGTGTGGTGCACAATGACCCTGCATTTTGATCATAAACAGAGAATTTTTAAACAAATCACTAAAATGTTTGATTAAAAAAAAGGGCGTTGATAAATAAAACTTTTTTTCAACTAGTTTTGGACACAACTGGTAGAGGCACAGACAGTGACAGTAGGTAGCACCAATATATGGATTAGAGGCCTGGGAGGAACAGATACTTTTGAAAAAGAGAAAGAGATCTAAATCGTGCATATGATCAAATGGTAATGGTGGCACATCTCACCAGTGGTAAGTTGCTGAAGGAATTAGAGCTCTAAACCATGTCCTTGAATTTCCTCAAAAATGCTAAAGTAGCAATGGCTTTGGGTGAGGATTCAGAAGGCTGGAAGATAAAACATTTGAAAGGAGAAGTAGAATATGTGAAGATACCATCTACATTTTTTGTTAGTCTCTAGGGGTATGTCTACACTACCCCCCTAGTTCGAACTAGGGGGGGTAATGTAGTCATACGGAGTTGCAAATGAAGCCCGGGATTTGAATTTCCCGGGCTTCATTTGCAACTCCGTATGACTACATTACCCCCCCTAGTTCGAACTAGGGGGGGTAATGTAGTCATACGGAGTTGCAAATGAAGCCCGGGATTTGAATTTCCCGGGCTTCATTTGCAACTCCGTATGACTACATTACCCCCCCTAGTTCGAACTAGGGGGGGTAATGTAGTCATACGGAGTTGCAAATGAAGCCCGGGATTTGAATTTCCCGGGCTTCATTTGCAACTCCGTATGACTACATTACCCCCCCTAGTTCGAACTAGGGGGGGTAATGTAGTCATACGGAGTTGCAAATGAAGCCCGGGATTTGAATTTCCCGGGCTTCATTTGCAACTCCGTATGACTACATTACCCCCCCTAGTTCGAACTAGGGGGGGAGTGTAGACATACCCTAAGGTGCTGCAGGACTCTTCTCTGTTTTTAAAGTTTTTTCTGTTGTTTAGTGGATTCCTGAGGGTGAAGGACCTTGAGTAAGCAGCCTCTGATGAGGAGCAGAGACAGTCTTAAGGGCAGGCGAGCCAGACGGTCACCCAGGGCCACCATTTTCAAGGGGCCACTGACAGAGCTAGTCTTATGGGCAGGCTGTGACTGCATTTTGGCCCAACCTCCCAAATCCTCCCCCCAAATTTTCATCCAGTACTTTTTTTTAAATCATCTGGCAACCCCACGGGAGAGCTGGGCAGTCACCCAGGGCCACCAGTTGGTTAGGACCAGCCCTGATGAGGAGGCAGAAAACTATTTGTACTTGGGGTCTGGAAAAGAGGAACTGAGTACTTAGTCAAAGCTGGAGTTTCTGACAGAAAATGAGAGGAAGCTTCTCTCTACTCTTCTGTGGTAAGAGAGGCTCTGAAGGAAGCACTACCTACTGAGAAAAGATTCAGTCGCCCTAAAAGAGGCTGCATAAACAATGCGTTTCAGACACTGGATTTTTCTTTTTGACTTTCATTACCAAGGAACATATTGAACCACTCAATAAAGCAAGGGCTACAACCTTACAAATGACCGGAGACCTTGCCACTAAGCAAAACAGTCTACTCAATGGGTGAGTCTACACAATGCTACACAAATTGCATATCTTATTTTGAATCTATTTCAAAATAGCTCATTTTGAAATTTGGCACATCTACTCAGCATCAAATTTCGAATTAACGAATTATTTCGAGCCATCCCTTATCCCTCGTGCAATGAGATGGCAAAATAGCTCACACATTATTTCAAAAAATATTTTGAAATAACGGGCAGCTTATGTAGATGTGGGGTAGCTATTTCAGGATACCTCCCGAAATAGCTGTGCAGTGTAGACATACACTAAGTTATATATTTGAACATCTGTCATTTATTTCTCAATAAGCTTTAAAAATTTCAGCTACCACATTATGTTCAGTTGGAAATACACGTCAACGCTTGTGTGATAGTAATCTAACATTTATTTTGCATATAACTAGCACTGTCTAGGAATAGTATTAATTGCAGAGCTGAGTGTGCTATTCTTAGCATAGCGTTTACTTCAGTTTACTCAATTATATTCTGAATGAAAATAAACTGTGAACAGATTTCTACATGTTTCTCAATAAGATTGTGTAGAGCGGAATTTTCAAAGGGAATGGGTAGTTTACTTTTCATTGTTTAGAAAATAAGGAAAATTTTCAAATAAACTTTTAAGCAACACTTGTGCTGTGAAGACATTTTTGATAGTGGATGACCACAGAGCATCATTGCTTCACTTGGGCTGAGTAGCAGCTGAACTAGATTTTCTAAGACTCACTGATACTTGATATGGTTTCCAGGTACGTTCCCCTATCTCTATATGCCATAGCCTCACCCTCTTGTCTTTGCATCATCCTGTCACTTGAGCCTGTCATCACCTTCTTGTTGAAGCATTTATTTTCTGGGGGGACAGCTTCTGAATGGATTAAACAAGAGTCATTGGAGCAGACTGGGATAGGAAGGCAGACAATCAGTCACTTTATTCAAGTGGTATTAAAACATTTTCCTACATTCTTTTCTCCAGATGTAGAATGTAGAATGTGAGACACAGAACAGGGGCTTCCCTATTGTCTGCCAAGAGAAAGGAGGTGTGTATAGAGCTAAGTCCTGCCAGCCTGTTGCAGACAGACAGCTAGACAGAGCAAGAATACAGGAACCTTGAAAATAAACAAAAAACAAGACTAACTTGCTGAATGTTCTAAAGCAGTGGTCCCCAACACGGTGCCCGTGGGCGCCATGGCTCCCACCGGGGTATTTGTGTGCCCCCGCCGACAACCTGAGCCAACCCTGCCCCCGGCGCACAGCGCACTGGAGGCGCTGGCCCCAGGCGCGCGACACGCACCAGCGCCTGGTGCGCGGCGCTCGGGCAGCCCCCCAGACACACACCACACACCAGCGCCTGGTGTGTGGTGCTCGGGCGGCCCCAGCCCCGGGGCACATGAGGGCGCCAGCCCCAGGCGCGCGGTTCAGGCAGCAGCGCTGGCACAAGGCACTCGGGCGGCCCTGGTCCCGGCCCTGGGGCACATGCCGGCGCCGGGTGCAAGGGCATCCCCGCCCCTGGCATGCCCCAGGACGCGCGGCCCCGCCCTCGGGCACCCAGCGCATGAGTGGCCCCACCCCCGGGTGCCCGGGAGCCTCTAAAGGTTGGGGACCACTGTTCTAAAGGGCCACAGCAGTAAACTGTATTCAAAAGAATACTCACCAACAGCGTCACAGGCCTCTGCAAGTTTCTGTGATGGCAGGAGTTGAAGAGTTCTAGCCCACTCTGAAAGGGAATGACATGTTTTGCTTAACTAACGGGGAAAAATCCCTTGTCCCCAAAGTGCAGTGGACTCCTAATACAAAACATGAAATTGGTGTTTACCCATTAAAAAAAAAGGAAATGATTTTTTCTGTCTAAGAACTTGTCTACTCGGTGGCATAATAATCACTGTGGGAAGTGCAATTTCTAAAGATTGTTAATATGTTATGCATTACTTGGTCTGTGCAGACTTTCCTGGTCTGCACAAAGGGTTACCTGTTGTATTTTAATGGCATGCTGTTTGAAACAGTTGTACATCGTAATGGTCCCTAGTGAATTATTAAAAATACTTTTTACAATAGCATATATTGTGACATAATAAAGTATACCTTACAGCAGTGTTTCTCAAACTATGGGTCCCGACCTCCCGAGGGGTCGCAAACAACTTAGAGGGGGGTTGTGAGCACTTGAGAGGAGGGTTGCGGTATCACAAGTTTGAGAACCCCTGCCTTACAGTATGTACAAAAAGTTTCTCCCCTTTTTTCACCTTGCCAGAATTTTTAGACATCTACATAGAATTCAAATTGCTAAGCATAATCCTGAAAAATGAAATCAATAAGCATCCAAACAAGAATCCCTATCCATAATTAGCAGAGATGGTGCAGAGTCTGGGCTCTGAGCATAAACCACTCATAGGACCTACACTTCCCCTACGTCATGCCAAGTATATTGATTACAGCCTTTGGGCCAATGCTTATGCAGTAAATGCATTAGCAAAGACATGGTGATATTTGTTTCGCACTTTCAAATCCCTTACCTGTTGTTTGAAGTACACATGGAGGGGCCGAGACGAAGCCATGTTGGACCTGACTCTTCCCCCAGCTGCCAGGAGGGGCTGGGCCACAGTTGTCTGGTCTCTTTCCACCTCCCTCTGCTGCTGGGGAGGGCTGGGCTGAGGCCATGACCGTGGCAGATGGCTCTCCTCCAGGCCACCAGGAAGGGAAGGGGAGGGCTGGGTCCACAGGTATCCCCAGCTCTCCATGTGGGCCCTGGAGAGGGTCAGGCTGGGAGTGGGTGGGGTTTGGCTCCTGTGGACACAGAGTGACATGATAACGTCACTCTGTTGTCTCCTGTGGACACAGAGTGACATGATGACATCACTCTGTTGTCCCACAGGAATTTTTTTTTAAGAGATATGAAGGCTTGCCTGGCCATGTTAGAAATGGAAGCCACCATTTCAGAAGGTATATATGTTCAAAATAGAGTATTTAGTTCATACATTCCGGTTATTTTAGAAAAACAAGGATATGAGTATAGATAATTAAAATTAGTACCATCACAATATTCTCTATTATAACATTTTCACTAGAAAATGCACCTACCCAGCTACTGATGTCTGAATGAGGCCAGCAATCTACTTCTGCTTACAGCCCTCTTGATGTCAGTAGCTTGGAATGCTACAGAAATGAATCAAATTGAAAAAGCATTTTAAAAAAGCCAGTCAATTTTAAGACAAATAACTTTAAATGAATCTATCGTTATTTAGCTCAGTATGCATCTTGAAAAGGACTTTTTGGCAGATTTAAAATACTTTAAAATGTCTCCTCTTATCTCAAGAAACCTGTATCGAACTAATTATTTAAATTAGCAAAAAATATAAATACAGATGCTCAGCTAGCATATAGTATGAATGACTTGTCAGAGCTTCAAATTTTAAATCTTTTTGGGCACAGGAAGATGGGTTTCAATTTTAGGATGGAATTATGAATGATTATTATAATGTAGTTGTCTAAGAGCTCAGGCCATGGACCCTATTATGATAAGGTCTACCAGCCATATTGCAGCAAAGGACAACGAACAGAGAATGATTCCATGTCAGAAACAGGGAGGAAAGAAAACAATAGTGATCCTGAAAAAAAAATCCGTTTACTTTGTGGCACTGGCAAAGATTCGGGATTTTTTTATTAGACAAGGGCCAAAATAGCAACCTGACAAATCCCAACATTTGCTTTCTGTGGGGAAAAAAAGTGATTCAAACCCCCTACATCGAGGAGGCAATAATTTTAATGGGAAGCCACTCCAAGATTTTGGCAAGTGGTCAAGGGCACCACTTCTATGGAGGGGATGTGGAGTCTGGGATGGAGGTTGGGTGCAGAAGGGAGCTTGGGGTAGGACACTGTGGTGCGGGGAGGGGGTATTGGGTCTGAGAGGGAGGGGATCTGGGAGAGAATGCAAGGTCTGGGAGAGAGTTGTGTCCTAGAAGAAAGGGGTGCAGAAGGTTTGGGTGGTGACATGGGGCAAGGGAATGGGGTGCAGGGTCAGGGAGGGGGTATGGGTGCAGGATAGGATTCTGGCCTGGGGGAGGGGTATAGAAGGTGGTGCAGGGTCTGGGAGGGAGTTGAGACCTGGTAGAAAGGACAAAGAGGGTACCCAGAGTTTGTGTGGCAGCCTGGTGCAGGTAATGAGAGGGAGAGAGGGGTGGGGTGCCAGAGGCAGGCTCTGGCTGGGAGGCACTTACTTATGCGGCTTCCAAACAGTGGCCCTGTAGAAACATGAGGAAGATTGTCTGCTGCATTCCAAGGCTGCTCGCTGCGCCACGTGACTCTGCTCTGGGCATGGGAGTCAGGGAATGAGGCTTCCCACACTGCCCCTGCCTCCCAGCAAAACTTCTCAGCTCCTATTTGCTGCAAACTGGCCAACGGGTGCTGAGAAATTTTGCTTTGAAGAGGGGGTTCAGAACTAGTGTCAACTTCCAGATTAACAAGAGACAATGCACTTAACACTGGCCTCCAGTTGTGCTATCTCTTGCTTACATAGAAAGTACTATGGAACAGTCTGGTTGGTTTACATAAGCAGTGTTCTGCTTCCAGCATTCTTAACAGTCTCACTAAGTTCTTTTAAAATTAGCTTTGACAGTTACTGATTTATAAAGCTTTCTGCATTTTGATGCAGTCCAGAGGCTTGGGATTTTGCAGTCTTTTCATGTTGGCTGATCAGCTTGGCAAATGAAGCTCCTGTACTTTTACTACAATAATCACCACAGCTTGAATTACTGTGTGCAATTCCAGTCACCCTACCTCAGAAAAGATACATCGCAATTGGAAAAGGTGTAGAGAGCAACAAAATTGATTAGGAACAGATTCCATATGAGGAAAGATTGAAAGGACTGAGAATTTCTACTTTGACTGGTGTGGAGAAAGTGAATACAGAAATGTATATTTATGCCTTCACAACACAAGAACCAGGGTCACATAATGAAATTAATGGGCAGCAAACTTAAAACATACAAAAGGAAGTACTTCAAGCAATGCAGTCAGTCAGCTTGTAGAACTTTTTGCCAGAGATGAAACCCAAAATTATAACAGGGTTCAAAAAAGAAGCATATACATTCAAGGGTCCATCAATGGCTATTAGTCAGGATAGACAGGGATGGAACACTATGAATCAATTCTGCACATGAGCAGTGGCTCAAAATTCTTCCATGAGTAGGTGTGTCCAAAGATTTAATAGTCATAACACTAATTCTAGACAACCCTAGGCTCTGTTTCCCAGAAGCTAGAAATGAACAATAGGGTATGGGTGAGTGCCTATTTTGTTCATTCCATCTGAAGTACCTAGCATTGTCCCCTGTTAGAAGGCAGGATACTGGGCTAGAAGGATGATGGACCATATTGGGTCAAAAACTGTGTAACCTCCTCTTTTCTCCCTGAGTTTTACCCAGGAGCAGGCTACGGTCACCTGTGTGCCTGGGCACCTGATGGTTTTAACATTAAAGGAGATCCTCAGTACCCCAGTGGTGGTGTTGTATAGTTGGGGATTCCCTCTCTGCCCCCTTGCTGCAGTCCCTTTCTCCTAAAGTATTACACAATGGTGGTGCCTCCATCTAGCTGGCCCTGTATACACTTAATGGTGTGCCTGGGGAGCTTCCAGGAATAAACTTATTCCAGTAATAATCTCGATCTAACTCAAAAAAAAAATTCTAAATAATATAAATCTAATTGATTAAATTAGAATTAATACACCTTTACTTAATCACTTAAAGAAACAGGGTTTAATCAACTAAAAGTGAATAAAATCAATTAACAAAGTACACAGAAATAAAGGAAACTTATCTAACTAGCATTTACACTGCCACCATTTACCCCATCCCAGAGTGTGCACTCCTCTGGATGTCAGAGTCCAAGACATTTACATCCAGGAGGCAACACTGTGCAGGTTGTTTGTGTGTCAGTCTAAGCTAGGCAACCAGTCCAGGCAAGGCAGTCCAATAGCTCTGGTTCACTGGGCAGATCACTCTGTCTCTCTTTGGATCCAAAGTCAGTCTGTTTCAGTACTCTGTCCCAGGCAACACTTTCCCAAATAGCTACAAGTATTCACAGTACCTTCTATGCAGGGTCATGAAGGTCCTTCTCAGCCACAGGCACAGACAAAGTCTCTCTCCTCCAGGGATAATCACACCAACAGCCCCTGAAGCAGCCTGCTAGATCCAAGCTCCAGCAAGCTCTCAACAGCAGGCTCTAGCTTCCAGCAGAAGCTTCAGGCCCCGAAAAGGCTCCACACGAACAGTCTGGCTCCTCTCTCTGAAATGGAGACCTCCCCCAAGTCTGTCCCTGCACTGCCTGGAAAAAAAGCAATCATTTCCCTCCTTTCCCCCAAGGGCACATTGGAGTTGTAGTCTCTTGGGCTGGATTGCAGCACAAAGGATCCTCCCAGTAAAAGTCAGAAGCTCCTATAGTAAAGGAATCCTACAACTGTTACATAGAATTAAGTATAATAATAATGTTTAGTACAGAAACTTCCCATGATAATAACCTCTTGAGATAGCAATGATGTGAGATAACCATCTTAGCAAATAATGCATTTTAAAAATGTTGGCCTACTAGGAAATGTATATTTCCATAAATTTCCCAGTCACAAATCTAGTACTCTGGAACTAAGTCACTAAAATATAATCCAACAAACAATTGTACCTTTAACATGCCCCTTCCTTCTTCCACAATTCTGCACTATTCATACTTGTCATCTTTGGTCAGTGAAGATGCAGAGTACAGAAGTGCTTTGATGTGAGTTCACTCCCCATGCTGGGGGGTCAGAAGGAAGAAAGCATTCTGTTTGTTTCTCTAGCTGCTCACCATTCAGTCTGGTTGCTGTTCATCGCACTACTGTTCACTTCATTATTCTGCCCACTGGTCCTGCACTGCGACATTTTGCTGCCATTTCTTCAGGTCCAAGGAAAGTACAGTTTAGGGCCCAGCTTCCTGGGATACCACCCCCTCAAATGGGATAAGAACCCCAAATGAATTATTTAGGTAAGCCCCGGTGACGGGGCAAACAGGCCCCGCACCGAAGGGCTGGGAGTAGCCCAGGCCCAGCTGGCGGAAAGAGCCCTGCCCCTCCAGCCCTGCTGGGCATGCTCCCAGCAGAGCCAGCATATAAAGACAGAGGGAGCCGGGCAGGACAGGAGGCAGCTGGAGGGTAGAAGGGCCCCGGCCACAACCCCGGTGTTCCTGCAGCACTGGACTCTGGGAGTGAAGCCGGCAGCCAACCCCGCCGGAGGGACCGGACCACTTACCCCGCCAGCCCCGGCCCTGGCAAGGACCAACGCGGAGGCGGACGGACTCCGGGGGCCAGGGGGTAGGAAGCAGCCCAGGGCCAGGGATTGTTATCACAGCTCGGTGCGTATCGGCCGGATTCCCCACCGAGCAGGCAGGAGCAAGAGTCCCTGTCTACAGGGCCCTGGGCTGGGACCCTGTGGAGAGGGAGGCCCGGGTCCCCCTAACACCCCTTTCCACACCCTGGGCAACCACAGAGGCTTTTCCTGGAGCTATGCCTCAAGTACCGTATATTCCCTGATAGAGGGGCCTGGACTTTGTACTGGGACTGCTAGTACCGTATATGCCCTGTTAGAGGGACCGGGACACAGGAGCGTACCCCCAGACAGTTCCCTTTAGCAATGAAAGGGGGAATGTACGTACTGATTACCCACCTTCCCCTCCGGTAACAATTATTTATGCTGGGATTGATAGAAAATAAAAGTGATTTTATTAAGTGCAAGCAGTAAGATTTAAGTGGTTATAAGTGAGAATAGGCAGAGCAAAGTAGATTACAAGCCCAAAATAACTAGAAGTCAAATCACTCAAGAAAACATTTAGCTAACTCTGAAACCTCAGCATACAAACTCATTACGAACTCATCCTAAAACTACTTCTTTTACAGCTAAGCCTTCCAAACCAGGGATGTTCCTCACGCTGGGGTCTTTGGTTCCTTTCCTCAGCTGTGACAGCTAAAGATCAAAGACAAAGAAGCTCCTAAGCCAGTGGTCCCCAACGCGGTGCCCGTGGGCAACATGGCGCCCGCTGGGCCATTTCTGTGCACCCGCCGAGTGATTGGGGCTGGCCCCGTCCCCGGGTGCTGGATGTGAGCAGTGCCGGCCCCTGGGCATGCAATGTATGGGCGTCCCCGCCCCTGGGCACGCAGCACAGGAGCGGCGCTGGCCTCAGGCGTGTGGCGCATGGGCACTGCCGGCTCCTGGGCATGCAGAGCATGGGCTGTTCCGGCCCTGGAAGCATGACATATGGGCAACCCCACCCCTGGGTGAGGGGCACAGGAAGGGCACCGGCCCCAGAAGTGCAGTGCATGGGTGGCACCGGCACTGGGCACACGACGTATGGGTGGCCCCACCCCGGGTGTGAGCGCGACCCCAGCCCCGGGTGCCCAGCAGCCCCAAAAGGTTGGGGACCACTGTCCTAAGCTTTCTATTGTTTTAAAGATTCCCACTTTTGTATTCCCTCACCAGTCCCTGCCATTAGGGAGGTCATGTGACTTCCTAAGACCAACCACTGCTAAGCTTTAAGAACAAAAGGCTATTTGCATATGATTGTCCAGACATTGAGGTGTCCCAGCCTTGGAACCACCTTTGATGGCTTTCATTTACACATTTAGCATTCCATACTCTATATGTCTAATTTTACACACAAGAACGATACACACACAATAATAAGATAAACAGATCCTGAAGATTAAGACATTAAAATTGATAGGTTACATGGGCAATTTGTCCAAAGCATCTTTGAGTTATGAATATTTGTGTTCATAAGACCATTTCATAAATCATGGGGGGGTTCATCACACTGATTATCAGTGATTTCAGCTCTAGCAGTCTTAAAAGAAGACTCTGTACAGTTTCTAGTCAGTCTCTATCTTTAAACATGGGAGGGGTGCAGATCAAATAGTGATTCTTAAGCAGAGACCACATCACCAAACAAAAACAACAACACCTCTATCCCTCCCCCCCCCCCCACACACACACTTAGATTGGCCATCCAAAACCTTGATTAATGAACCAGTTCAGTTGAGATGAACAGTGATTAATTTGTAATGAACAAAGTGCCAGGACTCGACAAGTTTGTTATTTTATCACTGATGTTGTAAGCCCAGAGCTTGCAGCACCTCTCTCAGATCAGAGATACCAGGACTCCACATGACAAACCCTTGAACAAACTAAGCACTGAGGGAGATCCCCTTATTGATGTAGGCTAGGCACAGCACTGATACCCTTTACTCATATTATATAGATAACAACATTTCATGACCCCACATTCAATGCTAAAATAATTTGTAACCTAACACCAGCCCAAATTGATCACTTGTGCTACACAGCTCTGTCTTCTGGATACCTAGGCAGAGCAGGGGTGTTCTTGTAAATACGCTCTGGTACCAAACCTTTCCACCTATTCCCTGGCTCATCATTAGTTATCTGGGGAGAGTTCTCTCACACCTTCCTTACACATCTTAATTTGAAGTCATTATGTTTGCCAATATAGCTGAAACAAATGGCCAGACATTGTCATACACAGTTGTATAAGGAAAGCAGTCTGTCCATACTTTTCTCATGTTTTCTCAGGTACATGTATTTTATCATATACTCTGTGGCTGTGTCTACACTGGCATGAATTTCCGGAAATGCTTAAAACGGAATACTATTCCGTTTTCAGTTTTTCCGGAAAAGGAGCATCTACATTGGCAGGCTGCTTTTCCGGAAAAGCCCTTTTTCCGGAAAAGCATCTGTGGCCAATGTAGACGCGCTTTGCAGGAAAAGAGCCCCGATCGCCATTTTCGCAATCGGCGTTTTTTTCCGGAAAAGACTACAGGGCTGTCTACACTGGCCCTTTTCCGGAACAGTGTTCCGGAATAAGGACTTATGCCCGAGCGGGAGCAGAATAGTTTTTCCGGAATAGCGGCTGATTTTGTACAGTAGAGCATTGTTGCTTTTCCGGAAATTCAAGGGCCAGTGTAGACAGCTCGTAGCTTATTCCGGAAAAGCGGCTGATTTTCTGGAATAAGTGGCCCAGTGTAGACACAGCCCCTATGTATGTGTATTAATGTTTCGATTTCAATTCCAATATCCAGCTGACTACATTGGTAATACACAATCGAACTGTTTGACCACTGGGAGAATTCCAATATGTTGGGGAAATTCAGGGGCGGGGGTTGAGAAACTCTGCCTCCTCCCCACATGGCCCTGTAGCCCACTAAGCTTCTAGGTCAATGCATTAGCTCTTATGACCCCATCCCAATTTGTGAAGCACCTACTAACACTTCTGATTCTTAGTCTGTGACACACAAACCTAACAGTCTCATCTGCTATTCTTTCTATCCCCTCCATATCATGTGCTTCCACGCCTAGATATATGGTCAGGTTGCTGTGAAAAGTCAGCATCTTTTCCTTTTCCATGGCTGACTGCTCTGGCCTGAAGCTGATTGCTCTCTCTTCTGGTGCCATAGATGCCCCTGGTCAGGAAAGGCTGAACTTGTAACCCCTCTCTTGCTCAACATATATTCTACAGGGGGAAAAAATCTGCATTCATCATCAACTCTGCAAAGTTCCTCAAAATTGGCTCAAAATTCCACCAGGAGTAGTGTGTCCAATGATTCTATAATGATAACACTAGTGCTAGATAACCTGCTGCCACTTGTGCATGGCCTGAGTAAATATGTGTACTCAGGATAGAGGAAGAAAATGTTGGATATTGAATACAGTCAATGGCATTTAAAGTCAGTATTTGTCAAGAGAGGTCTCACAATTAGCATAAATATCCCCTTTTGTACACAGAGAGGCACAGTGTGGTTATTCAGATATGGATTTGTAGGAAATGTTGGCAGAGGTCACAATCACATGAAAATGGATTGATCACAGATATATTACTGAAACGTGAACAAATAAGACTGCAATTTCTACCATGGTCAGTGTTGGTCATCCATCCCTATCCCTCCTCCCTTCTCCGGCCTCCATTCCCCAGTCTCCCCAGAGGTTCAGCTCCCCCCCTACCAGTTGTGTTAAATAAAGAGTTTTTATTTTTCAAAATATGTGTATTTTATTTGACATTAGGAAGGGGGACTAGGGAGGGGTAAGCGGAAGGATGTGAGGGAGGAATGCAGCACAAGCTCCCAGTGGGGCAGACCATGGAGACTCTTAGTGCTCCTCAGGGTGGAAGCTCTCCCACAGGGCCCCCTGGGTACTGACAGCCCCTCGATGGACCTCCCAGATGGCAGCCTGCAGAAAGTGCACCCAGGCTGATGGCAGCGCATCCACAAGACGCACCAGAGTGCCCAGGGGCAGCTCTGTCTCCATGTTTCAGAGTGGTAGGGTGTCCTGAGGGCAACCAGAGCTCTCCAAGACACAAATGCTTTGCTGTCCCTCATCGAGGTAGACAAACAAGCAGAGACACCTGAGAACTGGCTGTCTGGGATGGGGGGTAGAGTCCCTTTAAGCACAGATCTCAGATAGCCGCAGGCAGCAGCCCCACACAGGAGGTCCTGACCTGGTGCCTTGCCGGAAGTGGTTCCAGGCAGCCTTAACTCTGATTCAGAATCCACTCAGTGTGGACACGCTATTTCGAAATGCATTTTCTGTGTAGATGCATTAATTTGAATTAGCTTATTTCGAATTAACTATTTCAAATTAAGTTAACTCGAATTAACGCTGCAGTGTAGACATACCCTGACTTTCTAGTAATTGATCACCTGTGTTATACTGGCAGTCTTGCTGTCTTTCTTGAACATTATTTAGTATTAACACACTAATAAATGATTACAAAAAGTCAGGAGGGACCGAAGCAGAGTGCCTGGACACAAGACATAAACATTGCCAAGTAAGTCAAGCAATTCCACTCATTTGAGAAAAAAATACTTTGATGTTCATAGGAAATCTATTCTGCATCCCTATCCATAGGCAATATTGATGCTTCTACTATAATCATGTCTATGCTGCTGTAAACATTGAGCCAAAAAGGTAAGGGTCACTATCCCCTGCAGATCAATGAATATTAACATCAAACTAAATGAGACACTTTATTTTTTTTACAAGACAACTGAGTTTAGCAATAAATTAAGTAGTTTTTTAATGCCAAGAAGTGGGCTGTTTTCTAAAATGTCAACATATAAAATAATTATTACAATGGGAAGTACTTTTTTAATGTTAAGCAAATAAATAATTTTAATTATGGGCAAACTATGCAGACTAAGACCACCATCCTTCACAGACATATGTACCAGCTTAAATTTACTCAAGAAGCATGTCAATTATTACAGTAGGAAATTATTTTGAAATAACTAATTTTGAAATAACTCCCATGATAATAACTTCAAAATAGCTTTTCCACACTGCAAGACAGAATTGAAATAGTGCAGAAGTATTTCAAATTAGCACATCCACACTGATTGGAGCTTGCATTGGATTTAAAGCCCCCAGAAGCTCTCCACGGAATGCA